TCGGCAGGCCTTGTGGCATGTAGTCGTGCAGGGGTCACCACATCTGTTGGGGCAGTAGTGTTCGCAGGACAGTTTCCGGCTGCATCGGTCCCTGCAATTGGCAGCCACCTGTTCTGGAGTGGAGTTGCAAGCGATGTGTATCTTGGAATGTGTCTCAGGAAAGCTTGGACAGTCAAAGTTTTTCTTCTGCAGGCACTCCGCCTCCTGTATGCATGGCTCGAAACACTTCTTGGGACAAAGGTGGCCACAACCAAGCTCCTTTCGGCAGGCCTTGTGGCATGTAGTCGCACAGGGCTCTCCGCATTTGTTGGGACAGTAGTGTTCGCAGGGCAACTTCCGGCTGCATCGGTCTGTGCAACCGGCAGCCACTTGTTCTGGAGTGGAATTGCAAGCGAGCTGTATCTTGGAGTGCTTCTCAGGAAAGCTCGGACAGTCAAAGGGCTTCTTCTTTACGCACTCCGCCTCCTGTATGCAAGGCTCGAAGCACTTCTTGGGGCAAAGGTGGCCACAGCCAAGCTTCGATTCACAAGGCTTCTCACAAGAACGCAACACGTCCTCCTTCTTCTGGCCACATATGCGTGTGAGCTTGTGCGAAGCAAATCGTCGACAACAAAGTGGCTCTTTGTAAGGGCAGAACTTGTGCTTCGTACGTTCGCGACAAGGCAATTGAAACTCGTGATTTGGCGACTCCGAGCAGTTAAAGACCACTGCGCTAATGTGGTCGCACCTCGAGGCACTGTGACTGTCCCCGTCTTCTTCTGGATGGCATGGACGCTTGCAAGTGTGCGTTGGAATACCACAGGCAAATTGCGTCCCACAGAGCACCCCACAAACTGCCGATTGAGTTGTGCACACATCTTCTGCCTCCAGAGCATCATTCTGCACATGCCTGTGGCGAGGACATCTTTGTGGAAACTTGCTTCCCACACACCCTCGCTCTTGTAACTTGTCAAGGAATTCGCACCAATGGGGTGAAGTCCGAAGGCAAGCTTCGTTTCCAATGAAGTACATGCCGCACCGGGCACGAGATTGTGCGACGCACATGCGGTTCTTGCCATCATCGGTGCCAAGGAAACCCAATCTATTCTGTTGGTTGGATCTGACCAAAGACACAATAACGACGTCGTTCTCAGCTCCTTGGTACCTGCGATCGACAGGCAGGTCCCGGCATGACATGTTCAAGCTTTTTGGGCGATGCTGGACCTGTCAATGGAACTGACCTCTGGCATCTGGTCCGGCTGCACCGCATCTGGCACCAATTGCACCTCTACATGGAAGCATGAAAGAGGCAAGCATGTGCAAATTCCCTCCATCGGTGACTTCAGAAAGGAGGCTCCTCAACGAAATCGTCCTTTGCAGATGCGTGGTGCGTGCCCGTGAGGGTCGCACGGTAGCATCCTCCGCGGGGGATGTGGCGTGAACTTGCAGAATATTGCCAAGAATCACAGGCTTCGCGGCATGATGGTCGTTCAACACAACTTTTCCTTCCACATCTCAGAATCAAAGCATTGGAACAACTTGCTGACTTCGCCCTGCAATGATTGGTGTCGCGATTTCCCTGGCCCTTTGCGTCCTGGTTGCGCCGACTGTCCGTCCACAGAGTAAACTCTCTCTTGGCGGACCGTGGCAGCAGTTATGTCCACGCGGTTTCCACGCTTGAGAAGCACTGGGTCAATGTGAGCTGTAAAGGGGCTCAGGTGCTGCTCTTGACCCATTTCTGCCAAGAACTTGGGAATTTCCTCTCGCAAGGTGTTTCTGATCAGAGCCACCTGCGCCATGTCTGAATGCGGTCAAGCATGGGACGTGCCACTACTTTCCTGCCCAACTGCAACTGGGCCCTCCCTCCCTCCCTCTCCCTCCCCCCCCTCCCCTCCCCT